TTCTCGCTCGGGGACTCGCACGGCGACGTGTCGGCGCTTTTAAAGTAAAGCGCTTATTGCATTTAGGGTTGCATCCCTAAATGTAACCTTTTCAAAACGAGGCAAAGGCAGCCTTAAATTCGGGCTGCTGAAGGTGTCGACAAATTGTTCTTAATTGATTGCTTCCTGCTTTCCGTTCAAAGCGTGTTACTGCTTTGTTTGTTACCTCTGAGGAAAAAAACGAACCAAACAAAAAAGGTACTGTTAAGTGATTTCAGAGAGGTGGCTGATCTTTGAAAAATGAGTTTCTAATTCCTATTGGAATTCATTAGTAGCGAGATTCAGATTCTGACTGAGTAGCTATGGATTGTGCTCTTGTGTTCCTCTTGCATCTCCTGATGTGGGGAGTAGATGTGCGTCTTCCCCATGTGGGTACCTCTAGCTCTCAAAATGAGCACAAGCTGCTGGTTCCTTGACACTCTGGGATGGGCCATGCTTTCTGCAGAGTATAATACATGTTCATAACTAAGTGTGTTAATGTGAATTTTTATTTTCGAGGGTGGAGATGGAATTGAGAAACCACGTTCCCTGGGCTTGGCAAGCAGAAAGTGCCAGCAGTTGCTGACGGAGCTGGAGGGATTGTTCCAGCATCTGGAAGTCATGTTTAGTCTGACGCTGGTTCCTCGAGTTCTTTTCCTACTTGGAGGCAACGTCATGAACCCCAAGGAGCTCTATGAGCTGAATTTGGAGGGGTTCTGTGAGGGCTCGGCTGAAGAGAGCCTCCAGACCGCGCCCTGCGTTCGCCAGCTCTTTCACCGCCTGTTTGTTGCTGATGTCTTCAGTGAACTTAAGGCTCTCCCTGTGACAGGCACTCTTGTCCTGGTCCAGGGCCACCGTGACTGTGGTGTTGAGTGGTTCCGGCCCAGGCTCAACTACCAAGTGCCGAGCCGAGGGAGGAAGCTGACTGTTAGGCTGTCCTGTGATGGAGACCTCCACGTCAGTGCCTCACCTCCACAGCACACAGCACCTGCTTGGGAGGACTATGTCTGGTTCCAAGCCCCAGTGACCCTCAAAGGCTTTAGTGAATGAATGGTTTTCCATAGAAATTTAACTGGAATATTGATTACTTTTTTATTCTTTAGGTGTTAATTTTAGCAAATGTAACCATGTATTTTTGAACCATGTGTGCCTGAATTTTTTTTTTTCATGATGTCTACTCTGCCTTCCTGTATCTTGCTGCACTCCTCTGTTGTCCTTATTTCCCGAGTTGTTCTTGAAGGCAAATCCACTTTAAGGCACAGTTGCACACAAGTCCAGTGATTAATGTGTTGGGAGTAAAACTTCCCTGCTGAATGCTTGCTGAACTGGATACGTACAATCTCCTCCTGCGTTTTAATATGGCCGTTTTCTGACCCTGCCTTTGCCATGTTACCCATAGGCTGTCTTAGGTGAAGTTACTTCCTGCAAAATAACTCTGGGAGGAAATCCTGCAGTCCTTAAAAGGCTCCCCACAGCAGGAAAACCCGCGGGCGAAACCGGACCGGCACCCAGAGGTAACATTGTTGCAGCAGAGGGATTTATTCCCATCTAGTAAAGAATGGATGAAGGCAGTTCCTGCCAAGGGCCAGGGCTGCCGTGGAGATGGGCGGAGCCGCTTCCAGGGGCTCCTGGCAACCCTGCAAGCAGCAGCCGCAGCTCCCGACGCTGCCTCAGCTGCCGTGGTGTGTCCCCTATTGAGTATTCAAGTGCTTGTCCGTCTATTTGGTAAAATTACACTTTCCCATAACTCACTTTCTGTTCCTTAACACTCCAAAGTAAGACTTTCCAGCAACTAAAAAATCTTGTAGCTAGTGCTGTCTTGGAGATGGAAAGAGACCGGTGCTCTGGAGGCAGGGTAGCAATAAGCAATTTTATATTTTTTACTAATCTTTGCCTAACAGCCCTGACAATTGGTTAGATATAAGATTAAAAGTAAGCAGTTTCTTTGCTAACCCTCTTCAGAGAAAGTTAGGAGTGCTGCTGCAATAATGGAAGGTTACTCTCACTCAAGGAAGAAACTTGAGTTTCTGAAATGCATAGAAATCAGGGGAATGTGATCAAGTTTAGCACTATCTTTACCTGCCAAATTTGTGTTCTTAGTCAGACTGTATTACCTAGAATCAGAACTTGAGCCTGTTCTTCTGGGCTGGTGTCTACTGCAGAACAGGACAGGGAGAGAAGCCCTGGGAGCAGTGTGTTAGAGCTAGATATCTGCTGAAATTGTCTTCAGTCCGCTGGGCAATTATCTGTGCTGTAATGAGCTTTCAGTAGCTTGAAATAACTCCATCCCACTTGAAGAGAAAGGTGAACCTACTGGTAGTGAGGGTGTTTGCTGTTACTAGTCAAAAATGCACAATGGGATGGTCAAAGTCCTTTGTGAGGGTGAAGGTTGAAGTAACCCTCTACACTTGGTGCATATTTTAACTTTGACCTTTTTTGATGGAATGAGATGATAGAAGAAGTAGGAACTTAATTTGGAATTTCTGAGCTTGGAGAACAGTAGAGTGCCCTCTCTGCTGTAGTATCCATTAATATCTGTTTACAATGTGCAGTAGCTGCTTCTTAAGCTTGTTCTAGGGGAAGAACTTTGAGTGATGAAAGCTGCCTTATGTGCAGCTGCCCACTTGAATATGGAATCTCAGGCCTCTTGAAGGAAAAATATAACTTGAATGTAGGAGTGGTTGTGCTCAGGAGATCAAAACCTTTTATGCTTCCACCAAAGCTGCTTGTAACACATGTTTAAGAATGCAGGTGCCCAAGTGTTTAAAGAAGCTTTTAAACAGAAGCCTTGGCCAGTTCCTTTCACCTCTCTTCCTCAGTTGAGTGCAATGTTACTGCAATAAACTGTTTACATATTCTGTTATACTTGAACTATGAATGCAGCAATGATAAGGTGCTGGGAACTAAGGAACACAAAATGCGTTTTGGATGTTTTGTTTGTTTTTTTTTCCTTATGAAAACATTACTAATTGAATTTTAAAAATCAAGACTGTAATTATTATCAAAATAAAATGCTGGCTTCTATATGAGATTATTTTGAGGGATTAAACAAACCCTGTTCTGTCACTGGTAGAGCCCCTTGTTTCCATTCTGTGCACATATTTCAACTGCAGGCTCACAGCTGTTCCACTTTTCGGACAAACTGCATGATGTCTTGTGCCAGGAGCTTTGGTTCCTCAAAGGCAGCAAAATGCCCTCCACGTGGCATGTAAGTGTAAGTGACTATGTTCTTGTAGACCTTCTTTGTCCAGACACGTGGTACGTGTACAATCTCCTGAGGAAAGGCTGCAATCCCTGTGGGAACATGTACGCTAACCCTGGAAGACAGAAGTTCATTGCATTGTTGAAACCAGTCCTGGGGGAAGTCTATAAAACCTCTGTCTCTGGGAACACATTCAGCTGGAGAAGTTTCCCTACTTTGTGCAGTGCACTTCCTGGTCTGCACTCCACTGAGGAGCTTCATTTCTATTCAGGTATCATTGTGTTTTAGAAGATGATATCTGTAGAAGTGCAAAGTAGAGCCAAGTTTGCACATGGGTTGGTCTTGAAATGTTCCCCATCTTTGAGTTTAACTTTTGTAAGTGTTGTGCTACATGACAAGATAGCACACCTCTTTGAGAAATGAGCCAGCCCATTTGCTTTAGAATATGATCCCAAATGCATAACAAATTACTCTCTGGAGAGGAAAGGGGCTGGTTCAGTCCTCCAAGAAAAAGATTCCCCCACTTGTTCAGATGATCAGCTACTTGTCTGCTCAGCAATATTTTGTGGTCAGCCTCTCTTAGCATCAACTTAATGAGCCAGCTGTCACGAGGTGCTGGGTTTCAAGTACTGCTCTCCAAGTTGCTACCCCATGTTTGTGCTTAACTCTTGTAGTTCTTAGCTTATCCTGCAGCAAGCAGTAGCCTTCCTAATTCAGTTTATACTTCTCTCTTTGGTGTGCCCATGATCTTATGTTTTGTTTTCACTGAACTGGGCTACAAGTCACATTTGTTTGGTGAATAAGTATATAGACTTATGTTTTGAACACAAGACTTTGCTTGGTGCTTTAAGTCTTTTGCATTGTCTTGGCTGCAAGCTACCTTGTGTGCATTACAGGTTCAAAAGAAAAGTGACCCTTAACTACATTTATCCAAAGCAAGTAAGAATTTGAACTTTCATTTTTCTCAGAATTAAATTTGCTGTTGTAAGTGATCTAACTGTTGATACAGGCAAATGTTTCAACCTCATTTGCAAATCTACCTTGCAACTTGCCACATAATTACCTGTCATGAATTCTTGGGTCCTTGGAAAAGTTTTCCTTGTAGTATCGCATTGAGGACACAATGGAGGATGTCACCCAATAAATCATCACATTGGTCAAAAGCTCATCAAGAGAGTATTTGCTGTTGAGAGAGGAAGAAATTTAGCTGGAAGCTGTTGCTCAGTGCTCTATGCTAGGCTCATGCCCTCAAGAACTGCTGTCTCCCTTAATCTCCACTTATTTTCAAGCAGCAGATGAGTTGGCACCTGTGTGTTCAGAGCAAAACTGCCTGGTGCTGGAGCAGTAGTGTGCAGGCAGTCTGCTCTAAGTTTAAACTAGTGCTTGTCATGTCAGCCTTTCCTCCCTAAATTTCAGCTTTGCCAGGCTAGTATCTTACCTGTATCCTCATATTAGTTCCCACCAGTCATTCTTTTAATGAAACTTCTCACAAAATAACATAACCTAACATCTTACCTTTCCAAGCCTCCATCATCTTTAGTCCGAAAAGATTTGTCTGTCCAGGTTGAGAATTTCTCCATAATATATGCAGCGAGCCCCACTGGGGAGTCATTCAGTCCACAACCTAAGCGAGGAGAAGAGAAGAGCTGTTGCAGTTGCCTGGCATTGCAATACTTCAGTGCAAGTTAAACTGGACTTTGATGAAGAGCTCAGAGTTTTCTAGAGAATTCAGTACACAGAGAGTCTGTATTTATCTATCCCTTATTGTACTTTATTTGTGACAAATTCTCTGCAGAGGAATTCTGGCTGTATCTGAGGGCACTACAAATTTAGATAGGTCCTATACAAAAGAAGCTGGGAGTTAAGGAAGTTCCATTGGCTTCTTGGTGATGTGTGGCAAAAGGAGCAAATTCAGAGATAGCAGTCTGAAAAGAAATTTCAGATAAAATATTTGGGAGCACTGTCCTGCTTAGGATGGGATTTATTCTGATTCTAAAATATATGTATGAAACAGGGTGAACAAGAATACAATAGATTCAGAATATCACACATATAAGGGATTCTGTGTTTTTGCTTTTCATTTTTTTTTAGAGTTTGCAAAAGTGCCTTAATCTTTGATCCAGCTGATTTTTGGGAGCACTACCTTTGACTCATGGAATCTCTCATGGGAGCAGCCAAACTTGAACCCACTTAAACTGCTTTGAACTTTGTTGATATCAGGTTTTATTGGCTGGTTTTATCAACCAGTCACTTATAAACCAAAGCTTGGATAACTGTCAGTTTTACATCTAATTATTAACTTTTATTCATAGAGAAGCTAGGATCTTGTTAAAGGGTACAGATGTCAGCACAGATTTTTGTGATTCTCTCCTTCCCCTGGAACTTGTGGATTTATTCCTGTGCTTGGATTCTCATATTGACTAGCTTTCTTTTCTTAAGGCAGTTCAATTTCTTAAGGATGCTGGGGAAGGAGCCCCAACAAAATATTTTTGGAAATTATATTAGTTCCATTAGTGGATCTACAGCTGTTTGATTCTGCCAGAACTCTGATTCTTGAAGCATGATTTCCCTGAGATATTATGCCCTGTAAAACAATTCTCCTTGTTTAAACAATCCTGTCAGATTTCTGATCAGAGAGAGACTAGACATACTGATCTTCTTTTTTTTTTTTTTTGTGGATCCCTTCACTTTTTGGCCCTTAAAAACACCCAAGCAACCAGAAACACTACTGCCACAATGACTCCTTCCCACCTCATATAGTGTTTATCTCCTTTTATTTCTTTGGGTTTGCAATCACTTCAAGCAATAGTCTAGGCATTCACTGACATTCCAGTTTGAGCTGCTTCTCCTTTGGTGAATTGCTGGGATGGGGGGCTGTTTGTTCTCTGGTCTCCAAATCTGACACCAGCCTGAGACAGCTCTGCTGTCTTTCCTGTTGAGGGATGACTTCAATCAAGTCAGAATCCTCTCTGGTGGGTACTGATGCAAACAGTTCCTCTTAACATAATGAAATGGCCACATCTTTCTTCACAGGCCTTGTCCACTGGCCCCAGGATGTCAGCATTCTGGCTTTTCAGGTGTTTGAGCTTTGTCTACCTTTTTACAACTTTCACATTGCACGTCTTTGCTTGTGATATATTTCTTGTTTTCAGCCCCATTTACTTCTCAAAGATTCCGTTTCAGAACCCTGTGTTTTACATTTGAAGGACTCTATGGAAATGGGTTCATTCTCAAGGAAAGTGGTGTACTATTTAAAAGACCTTGAAAATATATACTTGAAATCTCCATCTTTTTTTGAGTGGTTTCTTTTAGCTTCATTTTATACAGTTCTCATCCCCATAAACTCATTACTCCCATGAGTCTTGCACTCAAGTCACCAGAAGTCATTGCTTCTCAAATTTGGCTGGCCTTTGTTTTCATGTACCACAAGTGATTAGTGCAGCATGTTCACAGGCATACAGAGAAGGTACATTACCTGCAGTGTCTGGTTTGGTGGCTTGGATGTGTAAGTATCCAGACTCTCGTAGGACTTCATAAATGTTTTTCTCCATGAAAGGATAGAAACGTCGAACATCTTCCCTGCTGAAGCCTACAAGCCATGGTACATAAGCCCCAAGCATTGTACTAATCATCTTTCCCAAGCCTTGTGCCATGATGAAAACAAGATTCAGATGAAGCCCTTTCACAGATCTAAAAGTAAGTTAAGGAATAGAGGGTTAAATCAAGCAATTTTCTGTCTCCAAGTTTTCTAGAAAACAAGTCGGACTGCAGCTGTGAGATAAACACTGAACTGAATCAAATACACAAAACCCTTCAGGTTCATAATGATTTAAAAAAAACTCAATACAAAGCATATGAATGCAATTGAATATACAGCTGGGGTTGTCCCTGAAGGATGCAGAGCAGAAGGGAATGAGAAGCAGGGCAAACAGAAGGTAGGACCATGGAGCCAGAAGATAGGGCAGGAACTGGAGGCAGCTGTTCTGCACTGGTTTCCTTTGCTACTTACTGTGGCAGCATCTGGGCCATGTTAGTGGTAATGCGAGATCCCCAGTCCCCTCCCTGTAGGTAGTATTCCTTGAAGCCCAATCTGTTCATCAGCTTATGGAATATCCGGGCAGTTGCTATGGAGTCAAACCCTGTAGGTAAAGGGAAACACAGGAGACCTGTTGGTCCTAGTGCTCCTCCCCTGGCCAAAGACTGTGACCTGACCGAGGCACATGTGTAGGGAGCTGTGGGAAGGGACAGTGTGCAATGCTGCTCTGCCTCACTCCTTGGAAAGAAAGTGAACACAAGATGAAAGGAATTCAGTGGAAAATGCAATCAGACCTGACTTCCAGTATTGCAAATCTCCGCAGCCAGCCCCAAAGCCTCAGCCACATGGGCCTTAGTGAAGAGCCAGGCATCTGCACTACAAACTGCAGTGCCCAGGGCTGCCTGGGATAGTTGAGGTGTTACTCCAAAAACTGCAATTCCAACAGAGCCTTTTCATTGCTTACCTTTCTGGTGAGAGGCCTCTGAGAAAGCATATCCTGGGATGGAGGGGCAGATGACCTCAAACACCACATCACCCTCATTCAGGCCGTGCTTGGCTGGCTCCGTGAGCAGAGGGATGATCTTGTAGAACTCATAGAAGGAGCCAGGCCAGCCATGGACCATCAGCAGAGGTCGAACAGCTTGACCATGAGGAACATAGGATGGCTTCACATGGATAAAATGGATATCAATCCCTGTCACACATCCAAGAAAGAAAAATTAAAGCTCTGGGGCCACAGTTTCTGCTTTGCATTCTGTAGAAGGAGGGAGGCAAAACTGTAATTAGCATCTGGAGCAGAAGTTTCACAATCAGCCCACTGCAAGAAGATGCATGGCTGAAAGGGAATGCCTGGCATAGTATCAGTTGTCTTATCTTTTGCATACAGACAGAGATATTGACCCCAGCCACAGATATTGGGGTCACTGGAGATTAGCATCCATCTCCAGAGAAACTGGTCTCATAGTATATAAGTAAGGACTGCACTTGAATGTACAGCACAATGGGGGTAAGATACATGCAAAAACATTACAGTAGTTAAAAGCGAAACATGACAAAGGGCGTGATAGAAGTCTAACATAGAGATGAATTATGTAAAGTCTTTCTACCCTAATCTAGAGATAATTTGTGTAAAGTCTGGCTAAGTTCACCTGGCTAAACTACTGTGTGGTGGGGAGGGATATTCCAGCCTCAGTCTGGCTGAATTTCACAGTTTTCAAAGGTGGCTTCAAGGCAATCACTGAAGAGCACCTCATGGTTAGTTAACATGGGTTCAGAGCCAGATGAAGCCCATCTTGAGGCAGACCTAATCTTATTCCCACTGTGTAATGCTCTTAATCCCTATAAGGATATTAATAATAGAGTCTCCATTTCACTTGTATCACAAAGCTGTTATGCATAGCTTATCTCAAATATCATCACTTTTTACATCTCCCCCTTCTTGCTGTGCATTTCCCAGTGAGACCTGTTCAAGGCACAGAGGCCCCCTCACCTTCAATGGTGGTGTGGAAGTGGGGGTATTTGTTCAGCACTTCCACTTGCTTGCGCCAGTCAAACTGATTCCTCCAGTAGTCCACCACCTTCCGCAGGTAGCTGGAGTTGAAGCCGTAGTGGAAGGCGGCTCCTTCCACGTGCGGTGTGAAGCGGAACCGATCCAGGCGCTGGTGCAGGTCCTGTGGAAGAGAGCCCTTCTTGCCAGGCTGGCCAGCTGCTGCCATGTGCCCTATGCCAGGGCAGGCACAGACAGGCTTTCCTGGCTCTGCTGGCTTTTGTATTGCTCTCTGGGACACCACAAGCCCTCCTGAAGAAGTGTCATACTCTAATGAACCACCTGAATTGTTTGTATGTGGAATACAATTTTCTACAGGTTACAAGTTCCCCATGGGCACCCAGGAGTGGTCGGTGCTGCTAACTCTTGGCTTGCTGCTAACTCACTTCAGGGTTTTTGCTGCTAGGAGTTTGGCAGCACTGCTGGCTGGGAGAATAAGAATTTCACCTTGAGCTGCTGGTTGCTGCTTGGTCAGACAGAGACAGGCATGCAGGCATGGAGGAGCTATGATTCAGTCAAGACACCATCCCTCTTCAGCCTTACAGCCCTTTCCTCTGTGGAAGCCCCTCAGTCCTGCCCTACTGGTGCCACAGCTGTCCCAATGCTCTCCTGCCCTGCTCCACCATCCACAGACTCACTGTCAAAGTCTGTTGCTCAAAGCATGGCCTTTCTGCAGATTGCACTGGGGGGCTGCTGTCTCAGAAAGTCTTTAGGGGTCATTGCAAGGAACCAGAGCTCAAATCCCCTTCATAAAGAATGGTGAGCCAGACCATCATCCAATGGAGCTGGGTAGCTGCCCTGGCACATGGAAGTGCCCTGCTGTCAGCCCCAAGGCATCACCTCGAGGCAGTGGGGTGGGTGATGGACTACCTCCCCTTGCAGCTTTCTGCCCCTCCTTACCCCCCAGGCAGCTGTACCTCGATTTCTTGGTCAGATGTTTCAATCTTGAAGGGACGGATGCTTGTGTCTTCTTTCCCTTTGGGGGGCCTTTCTCCTGCGCCCCACCACCCATCGCCCATGTCAATGGTCTTCATCTTGCGCCCAGATCTGAGCCAGCAGAGCAGCATCCCTCCAACCCCCAGGGCAGCCACAGGGACCAGGACTGCATTCTTCTGAGAATAGTCAAAAGGCCTGGGGAGGCACAAAATTGCTAGTGTTTACCAACAGCAGTGTCAAAGGGACTTATGCTGAGGCTTGTTTGCACATCCACAGGGACTGAGCGGGGATAAAAGCCTCCAAATCCCAGGCAGTCAGCAGGAACTGGGTATTTCTGTTATTTTTGAAGATCACAGGTAAGATTTGGGGCAGGGTTCTATCTACCAAGGCTTCTTAGGGGTCTCAAGTCCTTGCTGATCAGGACTTGCTGATCACAAGTCTTCTTTGTCCCTTTCCTTGTGAACCAGGATGCCCAGGGGGACAAAGTTCAACAGGATATGAGCCAAGCTACTTTGAGGCAGGTGCTGCAGTGAATGAGACAGTAGCAGCTGGACTTGTCCAGGAATAAAAACTGCATGGGCAGAGTGGGCTGAGGAGCAGAGGAGAGACAAAAGTCTCCAGCAGCTGAAGAAAGCTGGATGTGCTGGACATGCTTGTCTTGCCAGTGTTTCATACACAGCCGCCTTACAGAGTCAATCATCTCTTAGGGCAATCCTGGCTCTCCCCCGGAGCTCTCAAGTAAGGAGTATCTGCTGGTGCCCCTGTTTCTGTTCTGAACAGCAAGGTGCCCACTTGAGGTGTGGGAGCCAAGCTGCCAAAACTGGAGTTGACAGACATGCAGTCCTAAATGTAGTGTACCTTCCCACCCCTCTGACTTGTGTTTCAAGTTCCCCAGCTTCCCTTGGGGATTAGTAGAGGTGTCGGGGGATCCTGCAGGGGGCTGCAAGGGGGCTGTGAGTGAAGATTTTGTTGTTGTTGTCATCCAGAGTACAGAAGGGATGACACTGTGCCCCAGTCAGGGCAGCAACCAAAAGAGGAGAGTGCACCACAGAACAGCTATTCCACTCACCTGATCCGGGACACGATGCTCTCCCTACAAAAGGGAAAAAACAGAAAGATCCTTACAGTCTGATAGTGTTGTCCTATTCCAACCCTTCTGGATGGTGAAAAGAATGTCTACTGCCAGCACCACTCATTTCCCAGGGATGTGATCACAATCTCTTTAGCCACCTGGCAACATCTGCCATTATTTTTCGTACTCTTTGGATAGGATGGGCAGAGAGGGGCTCACAAAGCTCTGGCTCTGTACAAAGAGACAGTGTTTCTGGGCTGTGCTTTAGCTAGATAATTTGTTGCCATAATATTCCCTCCTTCAGCACAGCTTAGATGAAAGGCAGAAAACAACTGCGTAAGTGTCCTTGTAGTGCTTCATCCCGTGAGCAGCTGTGTAGCTTCAGCCAAGAAAATAGTTTACTTTGACTGCTGTGTTGCAATAGGTGCACAGCCCCAGCAGGGCAATTCCGAGCTCCAGGGCAGTTCTGCTCCCAGCCATGTGGTGCTGATCGTGCTGCAGGGCTGGCACCAGCAGAGGCTTGTGGACCCTTCCCGTCCAGAGTTTAAGGAGCTGCTGTACCTTTGACACTTTTAGTTACTCCTGACTGGATATCAAGCCTTTAGGTCTCCCCTGTCTGCTAGGAAAAAGTATCCTCCTCGGTTCACTTTAAGCCTAGTAGCTTCTGGTACAAAAGCACAATCTCAAATCTAGCAACAATAGAAGCAAGTCTTGTTACTCTGCCTTGTGGAAGGCAGCTACATTAGGGAGTTCTTTGGTACAATAATTATAGTACTTCAAGAAAAAAACCCAAAACAAATGCCAAAAAGGAAAAAGACTTGCTAATCCCTGAAAAACCAACTCCACTGCGTGTTTGTTATCCCCTAGAATTGTTTCCCTCTGCTGTCTGAAGTGCAGAACCTGGAGCCTGTACTGGGTATCTCAGCTACCTCCAAGGCAATTTGCTCGCACTTGCTGAAACAGCCTATGCGTGGTTTTTTTTCTCCTTAAATCACTTCCAGACATGGAAGAACCTTAGGGCTCATAAGAACAAACAGCTTATGCAACAGGTAGGGATATCCCCCGGCACTTACATCCGGGAGGTCGGTGAGCAGGAGTGTGAGCGCGGCTATCAAGGCAGCAGCACAAGCCCCGCTCTAACAAAGCCAGCCTGTCCCAGCAGCTCTCTGAGAGGCACAAACAAGGCTCAGTGGATCAGCACCCCCTCCGCACTCGTGCTCAGGAGATCTCAGCTCCTGCTCCCGCTCTCCCACGGCCTGCTGACCCTCCCGGGGCTTTCACGCAGCCCAAGCGCGGAGCCCGCTCTGGATCCCTGCTCCCGTGCCGAGGAGATCTCACCATGCGTTTGAAAGGCTCTCCCGCCACATGTCTGCTGCTCCCTGCCTGGCCGCTGCTCCGACACACTCCCAGCTTCTCCTCTCCGGCTTTCTCTTCCGCAGTGACGTTTTCTCGGGGACAACGCAAACCACATCGTCCCTCAGTGCCACCTATGGCCCGAGTGTGCAGCTGCAAACCGAGCTCCGTCCAGGCCGAGCCCTGCGTGCAGCAGGACCAGCCCCGAGCCCCAGTGCCCCTGAATGCCGAACGCACCGAGGGCGGCCCTGCCGAGGCCCCCTGAGCTCCTCGGCTCGGGCTGCGGCAACACCGCGTCCCCACAGCAAGGCCAGCTGGGTTATACCCCCGTATAGAACCTGTGGTGGGATCTACCCAGGGAAGGGATTCTTCACTTTCCTCAGCGCTCCTGAGACCACACCTGCATTGCCGCAGCCACCTCTGGCCTTGCTGCTGGAAGACAGACTGGAGAGGGCCCAGCCTTGGGGCTGCAGGGCCACCAAACTGCCGGCTGGGCCATGTGGTGTATGAGGAAGGTGAAGAAGCATCTTCATCCCGGAGAGGAAAGAGTAAAGGGTGGGATCTTATTGCTGTGTACAGTTAACCAGTGAAAAGCTGAGGGAAAATGGACCCAGAATCAGCCCAGAGAAGCAGCAGGTGAAGGACAAAAGGCAAGGACCCAAATTGTAACAAGAGAAGTTAAGGTTAGATGTGAGGAGAAATTAGTCCTCCACCGATGTATTCAGATGCTGGGACATGGGTTCAGAGAGGATGTGGGGTTTTCACCCTTGGGGGCATTCCATATTTGACAGGAACAAGGCACTGAGCAGTCTGACAGAGCTGAACCTGTTCTGAGCAGGTGTTGGGATGAGCTCACCTCCAGGCGGCCCTCACAACCTGTATATCACTTGGCTGCATTCCAGGTGCACCCATGATTTGCAGCAGCCAGAACATAAAGGAAAGGTTCTGGTTTTAATTTTCTGCAGAAATCAATGCTATGTTTTAGTTTAGGTGCTGAGATTTCATTTTCCTTGTGGTTGGTAAAATAGTCCTGGATAAGGGCTTCTCCTTCATAGGAATTTGACAACTTGGGTGAATGAGAGTTCAAAGCCTAAGGAGTACTGGGTGGGGGAAAGTAAGCAGAAGAGCAGTATGGAAAAAGGAAAACATACATGAAAGAGGATGGTGAATCACTGTCATATTATGCACTATGCTCAGTATTTTGCTTTTTACATTTTCAACAAAAACATGTACTTTGGTAAGAACTATTTTCCTTGCTTCCACGAATAGCAGAGCAGTGGCAGGGAGACTGTCACCAGGGTTTTATTTGCTCACAGTCAAGAAAGACTGATATTCATCCTTCTGTTACTTTGTTAGGCCTCTCAGAAGCCTCTAGTTAAAGATTCTTTCCACTGTGCTGTCTCTGTTATTAAGCTTACAAATAAAATACTTTACTGGAAGGCTTTATAAACAAAAGAGGGAATTACAAGAGTAGGAGGAACAAAAATGAACCACAGCTTTCTAGCTTTTTTATGTTGACAGCTTATGTTCTCAGGCAAGTATATAGCAAAAGAAGCATTTACACTGCATAAAATCCACAATAACCCCGTGGGTTTCCTAAATCAAAATGTTGTTAAATCAAACATTTGTGATGTGCCTAAGTAGTGACTCATGTTTATGCCTTCAGTTATTTACCAATGTTTACGAATCCAGTCCCTGTGGCAAAAAGCACATGAAACAGTCCCAAGACCTCCACAATCAATGGGAGGTCAACAATGGTTCAAAATGAAATGTTTACTAAATTCTTCCACATGATCTGATTATCCAGCCAGCTACTAGGGCTGATGATTGCTACCTCTTGGTGCTAACTTCTCTCATTTTGTTGTTTTGTGCTGCAAACCTTGAGTACTGTGCAGCCCACCTGCCTCTCTTTGCAGCACAGTGCAGCAACTCTGAGACTGCACAAACCCGGGTGTCCTTTCTGCTGCAACTTCTGTGACTTCCCTGGCTTCAGGACATGAGTTTGGATTTGAACAACCACATTGCCATCAGGATGTGTCATGGATGGCATTGGATGCAAATATTCCAGATGTGAAGGGGCACCATTACTGCCTTCTGCCATGAACTGTGGTCACTTTGCCATTATTACTCACAGTGCCTCTCGCTCTGAGGTGCTGTATGAAGCTTGACTGGCTACTGACCAATTTGGGGTGGTCAAAGCTTCTGTGCAGAGTAGCTCTTTAGATGTACATAGGCAGTCTCCAAGCCATTTTCATTCAAACAATCCATAGGAATTTTTTAGCATGTGGTTGTTTTCTCATTATTGATTTTATAATAATTATGTGCCCTTGGACATTCACACTCCGCCCTACCCTTTTGTTAAGGAATTAGCATGCCAAATGGCAGAGCTGAAGGTGATAACACCACACCCTGCAAAAGAAGTAGTTAAGTTCCAAGGACAGAGACTTGTTGAAAATTTTACTGGGGAAATGAAATAAAGCCTTCTGACGAGAAAGCACATGGTAAAAGTCTCTAGTCTTTGAAACGTACTGTTTCATACTGTTGCATGAGGAGGGGACAACTGATCCCTCTCCCTGCTCCAACATGTGATAAAAGTACTGGGAGTGTGTGGGAAGTGGTGGGCTTCCTAACAGTGCCCAAGAAGGAGCTGATACCCTGTTGGCCTTCTCCCAAAGTATTGTTATCCATTCCAAAATGTAGAGATCGGGCCCCTGACAAAAAAACTCTTGGAACCACCCCCAGCTTACAAGTTCAAGTATCAAAAATAGTAGTGTAAATTATCTAATATTAGATGACATTAAACTTCACACAAGGAAAGTGTTGCCTCCAAGAACACACTGGAAATCATGGATGACCTGCTTGACTCCTTGGGTGCTGAAAGATTGCTGCATGCATTTCCCCCCCAGAGCCTGATTGTCCTGAAGTTTTTGGACTCAAGAGCTGCTGGAGGGAATGGACTTCATAAAGGGATATTAATTAGATTTATGAATAGCAGCTGCCCCTTACAGGAGTTTCAGAATGCTTTCTTCTTCTTTCCCTTCCTCTCTATCTACTAGATGGGAGCAGGAGAGGAAAGGTCCCAGTGTGGTGGTTCCAGTCTTTTGTACTGAGATATGGGGTGGCTGTCAGAGGCTGGATGAGCTGAGTGCCTCAAACCAATGCTGGTGGGTGTGTGGTTGAGGATGGGTCAGGCCTTGCTTCTGGTGAGACAGTGCCCCACCCCCAGACCCCCAGCCTGGCTGAGCTGTCAATCAATCAATCAATCAATCAATCAATCAAAGGCTATGCTAACCCAGCTCCTGATTCTTTCCAGCTGTAGACAGGGAAGGATTAAAAGAAAGATTTAAGTTGGAGAACCACTGAAGGGCTTGGTTAAGTTGAAAAGGCTTATGGTCTGAAATCATGACCCTGAAAATGACATACTGAGGAGGTTGGCATGAATGAGTTTTATTTTCTCTTTAACTCTCACCACTGAGGCAATCCAGATCATTTCAGTAGTAGAATTGTACAGTATGTCATTTCCCATGATGTCCACTGACCTTTTCTCTCTCCCTTAGTACAGGTTCTGGGAATCTCCCTGAAACCTGCTTGGTGGGAGGGATAAGGGTGGTGATCTGGGACATGTGTATTTGTTTGTTGTAGGGATAGCTGGACATGTAAGATTGTAGAGACAAAAGGCAAGGGGGCCTAAATTGAATTTGCCCAGCTTGTTTTGGAACTCGGCTACAAGTCCAACAAATATCACAAATAGATGTGTGAATTATCTAATGTTAGAGAATGCTAAGCCTCAAAGTAGGAAGGTGATGCCTCCAGGAGCACAGGGAATCACAGATGATCTGCTGGATTTCTTTAGGTGCTAAAAGAGTGCTGCATGAACTCACCCCCTGGAGCCTGATTATCCTGTGATTTTTGGATTCATGAGATGGTGGGGGGAAAAGAACTGCATAAAAAGATGTTAATTAGGTTTTACTGGTATAGCAATTGCCCATTATATGAGTTTCAATGTGCTTTCCTTTCTACTCTGCCTCTAGATGGGACCCTGATGAGACCGAAAGAGGAAAGGTCCCAGTGCCGTGGTCCTGGTTGATGTCAGAGGCTGGGTGAGTTTAGTGTCCTCAGCCACTTTTTGGGGTGCTTGAAATGCTTGCTTGTGTGCTGCTAGGTGAGGTGGTGCCCTGCCCTGCCCCCAGACCCTCTCAGCCCTGGCAGAGCTGTCAATCAATCAATCTCTGACATGGAGGGGTGGTGCTAAACCAGCCCCTGAATGGCCAAGTGACTGGAAGTCTCTCCTTAGGGGAAAGATCCATGGCGGCTTAATAGATGGAGCACAGGGCCAGCACTTGGTCTGGACCCTGCCAGCTTCCTCGAGCTCCTGTCTCACCCAAAGTGGAATCCTAGGAGGTGGTAACTCTATGTGTGTTCTTCTAAATCTCTCCTTTCTTTCTGTCTGTCTCTGTTTTTTATCCTAATTCTCTTTTCATGGAAGTTGTGGGTAATGTAAGATCTCATAGGTTTAAAGGTTTCTAGGTGAAATGGGCTAAGTAAATGCTAAGTACTAAATTAATGCTAAGTAATGCTATGATAAGTGAATATGGTGTAATATCTAATCCTTTTGCCAAAGTCCCTTTATTTTCTATGTTTTTGCCAATAAGCTCTTGTGTGATTTTTCACCTCTTGAGAGTATCTGGTTGGGATTTCTCTTTGTACCCACTAGTGTAAAGGAACCTTTAATTTAATTCCTGGATTAAGTATTTGGGGTGTAACAGGGGTGAAGTTACAGCTGCTGTCACATGCAACCATGTTGAATCACACAGGTACAACAGGGACACTCTGACAGACAGTAACAATTGCTCAGCTTGGCTACTGCTTTGCAATAGCTGCTTACACTCAGCCAGTAGTGGTATTTATTGAGGATTCCTTTGAATTATTACATACTTTTTAAAACCAGTCATAAAACCATACTTGGAATATTGTTTCTGACACAGGGACTGCTTTCCAGAAAAATTAGCCTGCATCCAGATTCAGTGGGAAGCTACTGCATTCTTAATTCAAGAAACGAAACCAGGAATTTGGGCAAAACCCAGCTTTGATGGCTGTGTACAGCCCAGTCCCCAAGGGGTGACTCCATACTGG